AAAGAGGAGACATGCTCTTTTCATGGACGTCCTGTGTTTTATGTGGTCGACCTGCCAAAATCCTTATTGTCTTTCTTCATCCAATCACTGATCAGATGGAAGTCCTAAATCAGCAGCTGGCAGATAAGATTTCCCTCCCGCGGCCTTACGTTTTCGTCCGAATGCTCCGTGTGGCTGTGTTCCTTTGCTTCTGACCTGAGCCTGCAGTTTCAAAGCTCTACATTTTATATTATCCACTCTTGTACAATACTTTTTTCATCACGGAAATGCCTCCTGTGTTCTCGCGACAGATTTCTCGCTTTTCAAATTGGGTACAGCAGTCGACAGAAGGTGAACCGCGCGCCATTCTTTCCACACGGCCATCCGACGAGTAAGTGATTTCATGGCGTCTGGAAGGCCAGCTCACATATTGTTCTAGGTAGCGAGGTTTATCCGACGCGCTCACTTGACGCGTATGCTGCTCCACCCACGCCCTTCGGCCCGTAGAACCTCGTTCTGCTTGGGAATCCTCGTCAATATTTGGTAACTAACGGTCATGAGATGCATCACGGACAACGCGCCATGAAGTCTTATAAAGCGTCAACGACACGATGGGTTCTATGATACGCTTCGCAATGCCTCCTCAGTCTGCAAGCGGAATGCTCCTTCAATGCCTCGCCCTTTTAACTCTTGCATTCTCGACGATTTCACTCGGGGCTCTCGCAAAGTCAACCGTTCACGGTTTCACAGCGGACAGCTTCATGTCGCGCGCTGTTTCATTTACGGATGAAGTGTCTTTCGATAACTACAGTCTCTTCCTGCATAGCCAGCGCACGTTTATCTAGTATGTCACCTCTTCGACCTCGGACTCTCACTGAAATTGTCTATTTAGTTCGGGCGAATTCCACACCTTCCGTCTACCCGTTCCAGACCTCTGGCCAGACATCCTCCAAAAAGTCAAAGCCGCTGGTCTGAACTCGGTCAGCGTCTATACGCATATGGGTCTTCTCAACCCGTCCAGAGGTGTAGTCGACTTTGACGGGTACCGTTCTCTGAAGACGCTTTATGAAGCCGCATTGGAGGCGGGAATTTGGCTTGTAATGCGTCCTGGTGCGCTTCCTGTCTCTGCACGTTGTACGGTTCTCCTGATAGTTCGACATACATGTAGGCCCAGTACGTCCACCTAAGCCATATAACGGCGTGCCTTGACGTGTGTATGTGTTAGTACATCAACGCCGAAACTTCGGCCGGTGGTATCGCTCATTGGGCAACGACTGAGGTCGCTGGTCGTCTCCGGAGCAACGACTCGGATTGGAGAGAAGCGTGGCAAGATTACGTCCTTGGCTTCATCGAGGAGACTTCGCCGTATCAAATAACTGAAGGCGGGCCAGTCATCGGTTTGTAGCATTTCTCTTAAATGTATGCGCTCACCAATGTAATGCGTCTGTAACAGCGGTGCAAATCGGCAAGTACTCGCGCTGTGTTTATGCCCCTCGCTCTCCTCACACTTCTCATAGACAACGAATTTCAACAAGCCATCGGTGATACCTATTTCCAGGATCTCGAAGACGTCTACCATGCCTCAGCCATCGTTGTTCCTCTCACATATAATGACCCAAACCAGGGCGCCAATTTCATTAACGGAACAGTAAGGCGAAGTCTTGCTGAACAAAGTCTTTGATTGATCTCTTAATGTGTAGGGAGCCGTGGACCTCTACGGGTTTGTATTCATTTCTGACGCAACTTTGGAAAATTACTGATGACAATCAGTCTCGACTCGTATCCTCAGAGCTTTGACTGCTCACGGCCGACGGTGTGGAAGAATGTCACGACGAATTATCATGACTATCACGAGCGCGTGAATCCTGCTCAGCCGTACTACTTTCCCGGTATGACCTTCATCTTTCCTTCAAGTCAATGTCGCTGATATCCTGCTTAGAGTTCCAAGGAGGGGCTTTTGATCCTTGGGGACCCAACGCTCCTGGTACGCTGCTGTGTACTCCATATGGTGCCTTCCTACCCTCCATTTTACAGGCTACGCAAATTGTGGGATCCTCACCGGCGCTGACTTCATGTCGGTCTTCTACAGGCAGTTGTGGGCAGCTAATGCGAAGCTGATGAGCTATTATATGATCTATGGGTGAGGATTCAGTCATCCACGCCGTTTCCTTTCACGCTAAAGACTTGAGATAGGGGAACGTCTTGGGGCGCGATTCCGTTCCCGTGAGTTTACCGCCTGCGTTCCCATGCCTCCAGTATTAATCACTTTGTTAATAGAGGGGTAAACGCATCGTCAGTTCCATATTCAACGGAGAGCTTACAAAACGCATTATCAGGTTTACACCTCGTACGATTATGGAGCCACAGTAAACACACTTTGTTTGCACCTCAAATTATCATCTAACAATAAGTCGGTAGATATCCGAAGGTCGTACACTTGGCTCAAAATATGACGAGCTCAAGCGTCAAGGATTCTTCATTCGAAGCTCTCCCGAGTTCTACAAAACGGACTGGATAGCGGATAGCGCGACTGGACTTGCCGTCACCTCCAATGCCGCGATATTTGCGACGTACTTGCGCAACCCAGATTCTGGGTCTGGGTTCTATATCCTGCGACATAACGACTCCACCAGCACGTACGTTTCATGTCATATTGTTCTTCGCCACTCTCACTAGTATGTAGAGCTGTAACGGACTTTGACTTGTCGGTGTCTACTTCCCAAGGCGACGTCGAGCTCACGGCATTGACGCTGAATGGGCGACAGTCCAAGGTCGTTGTGGCAGACTACACCTTCGGTTCTTCCTCCCGTGTGTCGTATTCTACAGCATCGATTTATTATGCCAGTGTCATCGACGAGCGGGACGTTATCCTTTTCTTCGGCGACAAAGACCAATCACACGAATTTTCCATGCAGCTTACTGGTACATCCCTCGGAGGCAGCGACGGCGATCTCCTGTCTGGCTTCAGCATAACGACCTCTGGGGACAACTCTGTGGTTTCCGTTGCAGCAGGCGTCGAGCCTGGTATTGTCACAATTCACGACTCCCATACCCAGCTCGTTTTATTCGCCGATACCGTGACCGCCTCGTCATTCTTCTCCCCAATCATTCCAGGCGATTCCAGCAATCCCTTCCGCACATTCTGGGGTCTAGGCACGAACGAATCTATCCTCGTCGGTGGCCCATATCTCGTGCGCACCGCGGATATCCTGGAAGGCTCCACCTTGGCATTAACGGGAGATCTCAACAGTTCCACTACGGTAGCTATCGTGGCTTCCAGCTCTGTACACACTGTAACGTGGAATGGTGTCAAAATGAAGACGAGGAGCGGTTTAACTGGGAAAGGCGGTTTTGTGGCGGAGCTTCCCTTTGCTGGGACGGAGGTCAGTGTGCCAGTATTGGAAGGGTGGAAGTTCAAGGATAGTCTTCCGGAGATTGGGAGTGGCTTTGATGATGGGGATTGGGTGATGGCTAATCATACGACGACGAATATACCGCAGAAGCCGTATTATGGGGATGGTAGGATTCTTTATGGGTGTGACTATGGGTTGTAAGTTTCTTACTTCCCTTGCAGGGTTAATGACTAATGGGGATGTGCAGCTGTGAGAATATCGTCCTGTGGCGCGGTCACTTTAACGCGACAGGTGCAGAGAAGAGCGTCAATTTGTCTATCAATGGTGGTGAAGGTGTGTTGTCACGAATTTGTGAGAGTGAAAATCTCAAACTCTTTCTAGCGTTCGCCGCGAGTGTCTGGCTTAACGATGTATTCTTGAACACGTCGTATGGGAAGTAAGCGCACTTCGAGTTCCTATCTTTTGAATGCTGCTCGCTGATCACGAACTGTGATAGCTCAACGAACAATCAGAACAAGCTCGAAGAGACGGACGATTTATTCACTTTCCCTGATGGGGCGCTGGTGGAAGGCGATAATGTGATCACGATTGTGCAGGTACGTAGCCTGGCCAGTGCGAGTCGCGGACAACGCGCTGAAGCTTCGTTCGTTAGGACAACATGGGTTTGAACGAAACAAGTGGACGTTCAGTACCACGCTGCACTCACGCCCATGTAAGACGCTCATCTGCCATAGGAAACACCGACTCGTCAAAGAACCCGCGGGGTGTTCGTGGATTCAAGCTTGACGTTGGAAACTTTTCAGACTGGAAAGTACAAGGCAAAGTTGGCGGTTACACAGGGTACTCAATTTCCTTCGCTGTCAGAGCAATCATTAAAGCTTACATTGCGTAGGTACCCCGATAAAGTACGCGGAGTCTTCAATGAAGGAGGTCTTTTCGGCGAACGCAGTGGTTGGCACCTTCCGGGGTTCGATACGTCGACGTGGGAGAGCAGGGAATTGAGCGATGGGCTTCCCGGTTCGGCCTGCTGGCGTTGGGTTCTTTGTGACTACGTTCGACTTGGATATTCCTTCGGGATTGGATGTGCCGATGTCGTTTACGTTCACGGAGGGCCTGGGTCAGCCGTATAGGGTGTATTTGTTTGTGAATGGGTGGATGATGGGAAAACGTGTGGCGAATCTTGGGTGCGTGATGACTTCGTGATGGTACAATGGGGTTCTGACGAGGGTTTGATAGGCCTCAAGCAAAGTTCCCGGTTCATGAAGGTATTCTGGATTATAGCGGCACCAAGTTCGTTGGTTTTTTTTATCCTTTGCGGCAGCATGATAATATGATCTGTTTCTAGTACTGTAGCGATTGCGCTGTGGGCTATGGAGGAGAACGTTATTTTATCTCCCAACCTACAACTTGTTGTTGACGGGGTGTACGAAGGGGGAGTAGGAAAGATCTCGACGAATAACCCGGGATGGAGTGCAGCTGGGCGTGTTGTGCGTGATCACGAAGAGTATTAACTAGCCTCATTTCAATGCATTGACGAGATTCAGCGTCGTGTCAACAGTCGACATACTTACGCCGTATATCTGGCAACATTGTGAGTTGAATTGGGATATGCGAGTACCATGACGTCGCAGGTATATAAGGGGTATAACTAGGTTTTGCAAAGTGGCATCGGATATGGTGTAACGGCTAACATTAGCGCCTCTCATTCCATTCTGGTCATTTTAGCGCGCTAGCTCGGGGTTCGATTCCCCGTATCCGAATGCGTTGAAGCGTTGATATTTTTTTTCCACCCATTGAAACCAATTCACTACCTCCCACAGTGACACTAAACCTCCCGCGAGTGCTGGCCCAGCGGTAAATCACAGGGTTTACTTCCCAGCGCCACCCATCATACAGCATTGCCCGAATGTCGTCCTTGTCCAGCATCATCATCTTCATCTCTTAGTTATAAATTCCCGATCTGTCGTGCTGCTTGCTACGCCGCAAGTATGGAGCATCCTCCACAAAGACGTGAACGTTGGAAGTGATCTGGACATTTCTTATCGCGAATGCCAGTCATCCGGGCCCACGCATAGTTCTCACTACCGTATTGACCCTCTACGTCTACCACACCGAGTGGTTCATCCAGTGCGACAATTTCCCGCAGTTCACGTCCTGCCAGCTCACGTCGCCTGCGATTCCTGCACGCCACACTTCTGGCATGCCACTCCTACCCCCAATGTAAGTAATCCAAGTAAAGAAACAAAACCAATCCAATGCATTGCGATCCAGGGGCTAAATGTAGGAGAACGAGGGGAAAAAGTATGCGACAACAAAAGAGACGTGATGAGGTAAGTAAGTAAGTACAGACTGCGAAAGAAACATCAAGCACCACCCCACATTAAGGATGCGCCCCATCCCAACTCGCCCGCTTCCGCTTATTCGTATCACTCCGCATCAAATCCTGCGGGTTCACAACCGCGCTCTGCCCCCTCTGATGCCTCTCCCTCTCCCTACCGCCCGTCTTCACTCCGCGTATCTGCGGCACAAGGCCAACTGCACTCCCACCCACACCCACACCCCGGCCTTGCCCCGCTAAATCCAGCGCCTGCCCACCCCGGTCCACCCCCTCGCCCATATCCATCCCCGCTCCCAGCCCCATCATGCCATAGTAATGCAGATCCAAAAACGGCAGCGTCGGATCCGCCGCCGTGCCCACACAGTCATCGGCAGTCGTCGGGCTCGCAGTCGATGTCAAGAACAGCGAGCTAAAGCTCTGCGAAAAGCTCGGCGGCGCGTACGCGCTATACGCGCGGATCTCTGGCTGCGAATTCGCATGTATCTGCCCTGGGCGACTATTGCCAGCCACAGGAGGTATCATCCTCTCTGCAGGCGGCACCGATATCGAGCGTCCATGCAAGCTCTGCATTCGCCGCGGTCGCGTCTGAGGCGTCGCAGGCGGCGTACTATGCAGCTCATGCGACAGATCCACCAGGTCGTCCAAGTTGAAGCGCTGCTGCTCCAGCAAAAACGACGCCTCGCCGTCTCCCTCCTGCCCGTTCTCCTTCTCCTGCTGGTCGCTAATAGTAATTCCCGTAAGCTCGATCTCATCAATCCCCGGCAACGCAGGCGTATGCATGCCAAATGATTCGAAGCCAAAGGACGACTGCTGGCTCTGAGTTCGCGTCCCAAAGATAAGATCCCCAGCATAATCAGAGTGGTACTCCCGCCGCGGGGGATAGATCTCATCACTGAATCCAGACGAGCCCACCTCGCTATTAAAGTCCTGCGGGAATGAGCTCGGCACAAGGTCGTAGCGGTCGACGACTCCATGGCTCAACTGGTTGAACGAAAATGGTGAGGATGGTGAAAAGCCACTTTCTATGAAAGACGACGAGCCGCTCGAATCCAGTCGAGGGTTGGGAGAGAACCAGTCCGAGGTGCCCCACGCGCTCTTGCCAATCATGCCCAAGCCTCCAATAACACTGGTGCTATCGTTCCTGGATGGCGACGAAGTCATCATGAAATCCGACATATTAGTCGACGATGTGGGAGAGCCTGTCCACGCGTGATGCGACGAGTGTACGGGCGTGTCTACGCCAGAAGACCACGTCTGGCTCTGCGCGTCAATCTCCGACTGCGACGAGCTCAGTGACATGGAAACTGGGTCAAACGGAATAAGGTCCATTTCGTCGTCGTCGCCAAAGATGCTGCTGGAGAATGGTACTGTCGACGCCGGTCGCGGTCTTCTCTCGGTACTCGGACCTGCGCCCTCGTCCTCAGATGCCTCGTCGTCTGACGGGTTCGCGCTTTGGGGTACGCTCTTCGTTCCGCCACGCAACAGCCCTTGGCTTGTGTACCGCCGCTTCTTGCGCTGCTGCTGGGCCATGCCCGTCGGTATTTGGTCGTCTGTCGCAGCCCGCACCACGGACTTGACCTTCTTGGTGCCACCACGAGGCTTATAACCAGCGGCGGTGTACAAATCCGGAAACGCGTTACGGAAACGGTCTCGCAAATCCGTGGAACGCCGTCCCTGCTCCTGGAAGACGGGGTCTTTGACAATCACCGCCCAGAGCGTGCCGTGCTTGTCGTACCCGGCCTTGAGAGCGCGGTCCTCCTCCTCGGTAAATGGCCGTCGTTTCTTGGAGCGTGTTTTCTCGAACAGCGAAGTCCCGTCGGGCAGCGTTGAGCGCACTTTGTTGGAGAGATGTGTGCGTGCATTGGGGTAGTGCTGTTTGTATGCGTCTGGGTAGTATGTACGGAATCTAACACGCGTGCGTGCGTGTGAGCGAGTGTCCACTTTGCTTAAAACCCCACACATACCTGTCCTTCAAATCCACCGGAGAGCGATTGTCAAACTTGAATTCGGGGTCGCTGAGAATCGTCTTCCAGTTGCCGACACCGTGCTAATCTCCGTTAGCTGGCGTAATAAATATAACGTCGAAGACACACACCTTGTTGCACCCGTCAACGAGCATCTTGGTCTCTTCCGGAGACCACTTCTTGCGCGCCTTCTTCTCTGCCAGCGGCGACGACGACCCGTCATCTCCTCCGTCGCCGCCATGAATCATCCTAAACTTGCCGCGGTTCTCCTCCTCGCTAAGCGCCGCGCTCGTCTCTGCAACATGTGACTCCAGTCCAGTATCGTCCCGGAAGTTGAACGCAGGCACCACCCGTGGCGAGTTGGGCAGCGCGAGCGACACCCGTCGATGCTTAAGCGGTATTGCGGGGAACGGCGCCTTGAAAGAGAATGTCGATGTCGGAAGCGGGGTGGCGCTGGAACCACTAGATGGCAGCGCAGGTGGCGCTGACGTGGACGCCGGCTCAGGCGCCATGGTCGTCGTCGTCGTGGTAGGAAGCCAAGAGCGAAAGTGGGATGCTCATGGGCACGTTGCCGCCAGGGGCTCTCCAATTTGGGAAATATTCCCGCGCCGGCGCGTCCCCATCACCATTCCGTCTCCACAAAACTCAGGCATGGGTGGGAGTGTCTATTCGCGATTTGGGATTGTGAGATCTTCCGCAGCGTCCGCTCGACCTGGCCTTTCATTTCAGGTAATCTGCCTCGCAACAAGCATCTCATCTCCGAACAGACAGACCGCCTTCCCTCGTATCTAACGGAATTTGATTTATCAGTTGGCCTCGAGGAGGAGGTGCAGACCGTCTGTCGCCTACTTGGTACACGAGGTTTCATGTGTACGCAGCGTCAGGTGAGATTCTGAACACGACATTATTGGAGCATGTCCGTGTGGCGCGCCAGAAGAGGAGGGGGGGTCCCCGAGCTAGCGCGCGAGCCGTCTGAGAGGCCGTTGCACCATATCCGATGACGGAATGCACGTAGCACATTTTCAGCTGTCCATCGTTCTAGAATATCTTGCAGTGCGGCCGTATAAGAGGCCAATGAAACGATCGCAGTCGAATAGCACATTCATATCCCTTTCCTTCCTGAATACCAGGTTGATTCTGCCAAGTTTCTGGCTCGGGACCTGGGCAGCCAGCTGGGAAAGACTAAGCTGATGTTCAGTGTCATGAGTGTTCCTGGAGGTCAGACTCATGCTCGCGCGGCCACTTTGAACATGTTTGTTAGGCAAAGTTATCCCGGGGTGGGGTGAGTATAGTGAGTGGAGGTGTGTTTTCATGTTCGGTAGAAAGGTGATGTGGGCTAGTAGTAGTCACGGAATGCATATGTAGATGGTAAGAGAGAGATATTCATGTATCGGTATGTGTTGCAGGTTTTGAGGATTATCAAGGAGCTGATTTCTATGTAGACAACACACGACTACGAGATCGCGTCGCATGTACATTCAATATCTGTACTTACAACTTGAATGATAGGAAGTCTAACCACCTAGGCTTTCTACTGCGGCCTCGCCGTATGTTATCGACTTTCTTAGGAACGGGAATACGAAATGACAGGAATGCGAAGAAGGGAGGTCTCCTCATAACTTTCGACTTGAGCTGCAGACAATCTTATCATTGAATGACCACTCGGGCTCTGTTCCAGACTAGCTCGAAAGCACAATTGTCTTGACCCCATTGAATTGAAGTCTGGCCAGGCCAGGGATCATACTTGTGGCCACTGGCGTAGCAAGATTATAAAATGAAAGCTGGGTATGTAAATCAGGAAGTGACCGAGAAAGACGAGATTCTGGACATGTCATAGGATGGTTAGTGGGTGGAAGTAAACCCGAGGTTTTCAACCGGAATGTAACACTTTGAAACGCCAGATACATTGAGCATTCGAAAGGGGGCCGACATCCGCCGAAGGTTTGTGGCGCTATGCTGGTGAATGGTTGCTATGTGGACGCCGAAAAACATCTCGAAAACCGCATTCGGATACAGGGAATCTAACCCCCAGCTAGCGCGACATTGTATGAACTATTGGTATCCATGAGAGGCGCTAATGTTAGCGGTTACACCATATCCGACGATAGCAGGAAGTACATGATTGCACTCAGTTTGCAAGTGCTGCGCGCGGCGGAATGGCAGATACTCTTACTCTGGAGACAATCTTGGATTCTCGAATGGAACGAGAGACGAGCAAGGGCGGTTAGTGTTAAAAAAACAAAAGGGGGTGATCGAGAAGGAGATCGGATGTTGCCGAGTCGCGTGCTGTGTCTCACACGACGACTGGCTTTCTGTTTGCATCCACCACGTTCCCCCACAGTCGACCTTGTTTGCGGCTGCCTTGATGGGCTCTGACGGTTCTCTGCGCCGGCGAATGCACGTCCTGGAGCGTGCCCATTCCGACTTTTCCGCCCGTTCGTCGCACACCATGTCCCAGGAGAGAGAGGAGCAAGAGCCATCGCTGACCGAGATGGAGTATGAGACGCCCTCAGAGTCGAGCGAGGACCACTCGACGGCGACTGCGCCTACGTCCCCTCCCAATGCACCACCACCGCGCTTGGATACACCCAAGTCTCCTAGCCGTGCTTGGTACCAATTCGACTTTGCAGTCGTCATTGCACTGCTGTCTCCTGTAGGCAACCTCCTGACCGGTGGAGATCTCATCAAGAACCTTATCTACATCCTCTTTCTCCTTTTTTACTTGCATCAAATTATTGAAGGTGTGTGGGCAGTACTCTGATGATGTCAATGTCTGACATCTCTCTTAGTGCCATGGAATATGTACCACGCCGCCCGTATGCGGCAACATCCTCGCACCGCCTCCCCTCCTCCTTCATCCCCTCAAGCTCTTCTCGCTGAGACCGAGTTACATCGCGTAGAGCTGTTCCTTCTCGCCCTTTCTTCTGTGGCCCCTTTCGCCGGGGCATACCTCCTCCGCTACATCCTCCTCCTCATCGCCGGGCGCGACATCCTCTCGTGGTTCTCCACCAACCTCTTCGTGCTCGCCACTGGTATCAGGCCCTGGACACACATCCTCGACCGCCTCTCACAACGCGTCGAGACCCTCCATGACGTCATCCATTATCCTCCCACCAACCGTGAAGTCCCAGACAGAGTCGACCGTATCGAGGAGCGCATAGACATGTTTGAGCGCCGTCTAAGAGAGACCAACGAGGAGGCCTTTGAGTACGTTGACGAGGCCATTGATGGCGTGGAGAAAAATCAGCGTCGCCATGAACGGAGATGTGAAAAGTCTGAGAGTCGTATGCGCGAACTAGAAATGGCGGTCGAGGCACTGAGGGGCAAAGTCAAGCGCATGCCGATGCACCTCGAGACGGCCAGCAAGCCCTGGCTTTTGGAGTTCATCTTCCCGTCCCAGAGGCGCGTCAAGTACCCGCCATCAGCATCACCCAAGTACTCATTACACTCCTTCTCGACGTCTGCGGAGCGTTTGGATACCATCCCAGAGGAGATGCCGACGGCACCCCCGCCGCCGCCGCCCCCTACGCTCGTCAAGACGCTTACGTCCCTCATCACTCTACCTCTGCGGCCGGTTATTTATGTTTTGTCTTTTGCACGCATCTCGTGATACGTCTATCCCCCGCATTTCTTCTATATGTACACTTTATTCCACACTCGCATTGCACTGTATGAGTACCAGTATTATTTAGTCTTCGTGTCTCTTGCATGCTTTCTTATTTTGATTGCTTAGCTTACTCTGATCATGAATATCTTACGACTCCTTTCCCTATTGTGCACCGTGTGTCTCGCGCTCTAGCTGCTACCAGCTACAGTCAACATGGGATATGGTGTAAAGGCTAACATTAGCGCCTCTCGTGGAAGATGAACTGTGCTTGCCGCGCTAGCTCGGGGTTCAATTCCCTGTATCCGAATTGCCCCTGCAAGATCCTGGCTCTAACGACCTCTACTTGCCATAGAATCCGAGTCGACAACCTGCTGCTGCCGCTGACACGGCGAAGGCATGGTTAACGCCATCCCAAAATTGTCAAGTCAGCAACAAATCCTTCAATTCTGAAGACAGCAGTGACGGCGCGTAAGTTGTAAATTGTATAGCTAACACTCAAAGCACATTGTGGAAGACCTGAAGCGGTGCTGAGAATGAGAACAAGTCAAATGAGACATCCAGCCTACTGTAGGTCTACATCGATAGTACTTGAAAGAATAAGAAATGAATCGAAATCGAGAAGCTCACCGTGGTGGTGAGACTCCATGTCGTACGGGAGCCATTAACTTGAAGGTAATATTCTCCTTGCCCACACGGTCCTCCCGCCTACGAATCGGGCGGGTTCGACTCATATAACGACGGTGTATCCTCCATGACAAGGTTGCATTCCTTCGACTATCGCTCACACGTTCATCTAAAGTACAAGATCGGTTTATAAGGTCGCAGGTCAAAGTGTCAAAGTGAAGTCTCGACGAGGCCGCGCTGTGTACAGACGTTCTTGAGGTCGTTATCTGCCGTGTCGCGGTCCACCACCCCACGGTGTGGAATGATACGCGCCGAGTCACACGCGGACGAGGTTAAGGACCCGATGTCTGTATCGTCTCTTTGTATCCTGGCCGGAGTTCAGATCCTAGATTTCCGAGTCCCTACGCATATCGGATATGGTGTAACAGCCAACATTAGTGCCTCTCATTGCTAACTAATACGCCGGCTTTCAGCGCGCTAGCTCGGGGTTCGATTCCCCGTATCCGAATGCTTAGGCATGTCCAACTGGTTTTTTATTCAGAATCGTTCTCTGACTTTTCATGTCATGATCATGGATCCGAGTCTGAAGTCATCGAGGAGAGGCTGAACTTTCCAGGGTGCTCGAGGGGTACGGAGCGGAGGCAAGGGAGGTGATGTTGTCCAGGAAGCGGGCGAGCCTCGGGGTGACATCGAGGGAGACGGGACCAGTACGCGAGAATGAAAGTGTCAGTGGTTCGAGGAGAAGGAATGAGTTCCGACAAGGTGAGTCCGTCTAGTAGTCTCTATGAGCGATCTCCTTAACCCGACTCATTGCTCAATCCAGTAAACCCCAGCGCTCGCTCTCCGCTGCTTGGCTTTAGGGAACGCAAACACTGGACGTCAACGGCAAGAAGAGTAGCAGCAGGCTCTGTTCTGACGGGCGGCGACAACGTACCTGGCAGGACTGGCATGGAATCTGCTTGTCGCACTTGATTTTGAGCCTGGGAATGGCGACAGTCTAGTACAGGCTGGAGTCAATGCGATGATCGCACTAACCTCCGGCACTCCGCGCAAGAAACCTGGGATAATTTGCTTCAGTGAGATCGCGAAGAGCGATGGGGGTGATATGATACTAACCTCACCTGGGACGCGCGAACGGCCGTGAGCGAGTGACCGGCCAGAGGAGGGCAGCACGTACCGCGATTCCGCTTTTGCTCTAGCTAGACTTTGTAATTCTGTGTCGGACGATAGTATATCGTTCCGGGAGAACAAACTCGAAACCCCAAAGTGTGCCAGGCGTGGCGCTGAGCACGCATCGCGCCGCTGGGGGCTGTATGCAGTGATATTGCGGTTAATGGTATGTGAGAGAGCGAATGTGGAAGGTCTGTATGAGGATGTCGGTAAGGAGGCGCCGGATGTGAGCATTGATTCGACTGGGAGCCGAGCTGGGAGCGCCGCTCGGCCCCAGAGCGGGCATGCTGGTAGATCTGCCTTGGAGAAGGCGAAGCAGCATTCCACAGCGCGCGCTGGTATCGGGGAACATTGATATGGCGTCGAGATGTTGGATTTGACCGAATGTGTCTAGGAAGAGGATCGTTATCAGTCAGGACGACACGACATGACTAGAAGTGCGCAACGTTGGGCAACTGTTTTTCGTCTATGAATCATGTAACACTGATAAGAAAAAAAACTGACTTGCATAACTAATTAGAGCCAAGGCGCAAAAACTACCCTTGGACAGGTCATTCGGATACGGGGAATCGAACCCCGAGCTAGCGCGCTCAATTCACTGGACGCGTACACCATGAGAGGCGCTAATGTTAGCCGTTACACCATATCCGATGACAAGTATGTCTTTCATCCAAGTCTAGGATGAAAAGCTTTCAGGGCCGCGTTGGATAGGGGGTAACATATTTTACCGTTACCGTGGCCGTGGACGGTATATGGATTGAAGACTCGTAAATTACCGCCCACGACCAGAGGTCGCGTTCGTGCTTTCCTTACCGTGCGTTATGGGACAACCGGGTCAAATGACACTGGCGCCACACATTAAGTACGCTCCCAGACGAGTGGAAGCACATCAATCTGTCAACCAAACCCTTGGCATGATGACGAGGATACCGCCACCGCGAGCAATTCATTCCCTCGCCCTGACTGACGCCAATGACGCACGACTCCGCCTATGACGCGTGCCGTCCTGTCTCTATAAAGTCACCAACAGACTCACCTCGATACTTCTACGACCATAGCATATCGCGTGCTCTCAACCAATTCACACCCAAACACATACTCGACCGCCATGAATTTCCTGAAAGAGCAGATGAACAAAGCGCAAGGCGGTTCTCATAACACCAACACTGGCGCCGCTCCGACAAACACCACATCGAGTAGCGGCAGTGGCGGCGGGCTTATGGGGAAGATTAACAGCGCCATGGGTGGAGGACAGAAGGGCGAGCAGAACGAGGGTGCGTCCATTTCGCTTGACAGGGCTCTTTTTTCGACTGCTGACTGGCGCTGTAATAGATATGCTGGACAAGGGCGTCGACTACGTCCAGGAACATATTTTCCACCAAGGCCCGCAGAATAACGAGTCGGCGGTGGAGCAGGCGAAGGATGAGCAGATCTCGGATGCGATTAGGCGGGGGTACAAGAGCGCCACAGGGAAGGAGTTTCCAGTCAAGGACAAGTCGTAATCGCAGACTCGAGAAGAACCTCGACATGTATATGTACGCAAATTCCGACACCTCGGTTTCATGAAGATCCATCCAGCGCAGACAGTTTAGATTGGCGGGGCGAGATGACATCCTCAACCTAAGCACTGAAGCGTAACCAACTTCATCGTCAGGTGCATATGCCTACCTATGCCTACATGCGTGAATGTGAAAAAAGGATGAATTCGCACATTCCAAGCGAAGCGCTGGTATCCCCTAGACCAGACGACCCACGACTTGTTATCATGCGAAAGGGATATATGGGCAAAATTCCTCGTAGGCCTCGCGAATAAACTGCGCAGAAGCGAAGTCATCCCCAGTTGAAACAAAACGGGTTCACCGGGCATTGTAGGCGAAGTATCCGATTGACTACAGTGGCACAGTTCAAACGATGAAGTGAAGAAGATTTGGAGTAAAGCAACAGAGCTATGCAGCAGGTAGTCGGGACAAGAGCAGGTGAAAAAGAAGAGGAGAGAAGTTGTGATACAAGCCCAAACAAGTGACTACTGGAGCGTCAATCACATGATCCCGATTTCGACTCTTGTTTCCGACCTTGGGTGACCTACCCGTTCTAACTCGCTGCATCTGGCCTTGAACGTTATCCTATACTCTGGGGATATGCGCTGAGGCTACATCTTTCGATACTCTGACCGTACACCCTGCTTTAACGCCTTTACCGCGGTGAGTGCCAAGTTCCTTGCAACCTCGAGTTTCATCTGATATGATTGTACAACAGATACTAGTGTGCTAATGTGTAGAGTTTAATATTACAACAATTCGATCCGGAATTCCTCTATAGTCCGATAAAACAGCCACCCGCCGCGGATGAAGGTCGAAGGACGGCGGGTGCAATAGATATGCTGCTCCCAGCTAGGATGTAAAAAGGCCTTCCTCCACTCCCGCAGCCTGTCTCTCCGGGCCTCCCCACCAAGGTATCGCACGAAAGGTGTAATGGAAGTTAAATGGGTCGACAACATCGACCTTGCGAATATGACGCAGGCAGTTATGGTGCGTGCGTATTGATAGCGAGAATAGGTCTGAAGATACGTGAGTTGATGTCGCACGCGTGTCAAAGAGAAGACTCACGAAAATGATAGGTATAAAGGTGAAGTGCATGTTTATGCAATGACGCATGAGCTGCCGTCGTTTGCCTCGTCGATGGGTGCGAGGTCTTCGAGGTGTTCCTCGGACTCTGCGCGCGTGTCGATGACAGCCGAGGTGGAGAAGGTGTATTCAAAGCTATCCATGACGAATTGGCTTGAGATGAAGGTAGGTGTCGCGTCAAAGGTGGATGGGGTGGTGTCGCGTCAAAGGTGGATGGGGTGGTATCGCTGGGGGTTGCTGCCCTCCCCTCCCCATCCTCTTCTCCTTTTATATCAGTGCCCGTCCCACCCAATTTCCGCCTCAAAAAGACTCTCTTATTGTCCAATCCTCATTCGGGGAAGGGCGGTCCGGATTAGGCAAGTCTTTCGGCGACTCAGCAAAGACAATAAGAGGTGTAGTGCCGCGTAACGTCTGGAAGGCCATAACAATAAGACGCGACGGGTTTGGTACATTGCAACTGAATGCGGATGGGCAGGTGGCGGGAGCCCACAGGAATAGAATTGCAAACTCGGATGGCTCGGATGCTTTGACCGTGTTGAATCAGGCACGTCCTCGTCCTCGAATCGCGAATCCCCCGCGAATTTTCATGTTGTCAGAGAAGTTTCAAAGCGCAGGTCACCATCGAGCATTGCCCACTCTCCTAACATTATACAGCACACCGAACAATTCACGTCCAAAAGCAGAGAGCATGGCACCTCGCTCTTCTCGGTGCTCCATTTCTTCGGAACATGTCAACGCGACATCTTATTGTTAAAACCGCACGATCACAGGTCGCGTCGAGGGCACCACCGGTAATCTTCCGTCCCCGGATGCGGGAATATTTTGCTCTTGATCGGAAGCTATGGACATCATCTCGCGAGTCGCTTGTGAATTCCTTATTGTCTTTTGGTACACTGGATGCTCGATGGCCCTAGGAAAGGCATTGGGGTCAGGGCATCTTAGCATTCGGAGGTTATTGTTAGCTAAAGCTACGTGAGCTTGCGAACGGCTAGCGTCAGTGTAAGATAAGGCAAGGAGTGTTACAGATGCCGTCTTAGAGCCGGGCCGAAATCGATGACATTGCTATGATGACTGTCTGATCTATTTCGGGCCCGAGATCGTGTGCGTGTCAAGCCTCTTGCTCGACGCGACCACCACTGGCAATCCGAGTGTATCAGTCGCTCGATGGCCCACCTCTCATCGTTCTCCTCTTTTTTGGATCCCCACCCACCGTCCCTTTCTTTTCTTCACGCTTGGTATGTTTGGGTTTACTCTCTCCTTCCCTCAAACCCATTCTCCTTGTGTACTGGGCACGACATCACCCTCTGCCTTTTCGAGTCGGGCGTCCACCGCCACACTTCGACAGGCAGACCGCCGCTTTGCGGCATCGTCGTGTCCCCCCACAACCCACAACGCTAGTCCTCACCATTGCTCCCATCCGGACGCCTCTCACGCACAAGACAAAGTTCGTGCAACTTGCCTTATCTCGCCTGGTTTGGTCTTGGTTCCTGTGGCTGAGAATAGAGCAAATGCGTTAAACCCGGCAACTTGAAGCCAAAGCTGTCCTCGCGACCTGTACTCGATAATAAAAACAATTGGGAGTGAGCTAGTAGGAACCCCGTGATATCTGTGAATGGCCAGGACCGGCGCTTCTACGAGGCTTCATGCCCTTTACAATAGCGGTCTGCTCCTTTGAGAGGACATCAAGCGCATGGTGTGGAAAGCAATCGCTCCCTTCATCATGGTGTCGAAAAGAGAACTGAACAAATAGACAATGAAACTTTCAGCTCGGAATAAAGCCAAAGCCTTCGCCGCCATCGACGAAATCAAACGAGCGAACCTCAGCTTCATTTAGCGCATTTAGACTCCGTAATGATAGAATGGAAACTGCACCTGCCCTATATCGGCGGACCAACGTCAAAGGAAACTCATTCACTGCGACGCTCCAGAATAGAGGCCTCGTCGGTGCCGCAGAAGACGCCGCGTTCGAAGGCGTTCGACGACTACATCAGGCGACTTCTTATTGACAACACGACGCTTACTAGCGACGTGCTCGACCAAATCCACGCGATATGGGCGGCTAATGACACGAGTTTAGGCGCGCCCTTCAACACAGGCTTTAACGGCCCAGCCGCTTGGTACACGGACGAGATGTTCCTGTGGGACCTCGCCGACTGTTCTTTGCGGGCATAGACCGGAACACTAGTATCGAAGTCCTATCGTGGCGTCGAGATTATACTTCCCCAGTAACGTTCCCAGCGGCGACTTTCACCAACCTCGTTGCATCTTCTGACCGCGGCTTTATCACACACTTGAATGGTTCCGGATATCTATCGTAGGTACCTATAAGCTAGGCGAAACAAAAGGACATAAATCAACGGACCTAATATGTCCATCTGTGTACAGTGGCTCCAGTACGATATCCCTACCATACTCGTCTTGCGCTGGAGCGAGCGTGAACGCCGCTAACATGGAAGCAATGGCGAGCCATGCGCTGTTCAGTGCAAGGTACCGTCCGGGACATGCACTACGAAGGGCATCACATGGATGACCGAGAGACATACATCAGTGGGCTTACCGGCGACCAAATCCGAAAGTTGCTACTTCTGCAGGATTAGGAGGAAGGTCTTTTCCGTCTGACTTTAGAAACCTCTCGGGTTTGAAGCTGTCGGGGTCGGGATAGTCGGTTTCGTTGCGAAAGATTGCCCTTTATGACAGCGTTGGCGTAGATTAGACAGCGCAGGTCATAGACTAACCAGACATTTCCAATGATGAGACTTTCTGAGGGAACATTTAGAAGCTTCACTAATCGTGGCGTAGATTTTACTCACTCGCTGGTATATAGTGCCCATTGTAGACGTCCTCATCCATACTGCGATGCATGAAGCCTGCGAAGGTTAGGAAAAGCAGTTTGTCCATTGGAGCTAAAATTCACCCATCGGCAAAGCAGGGTTCCATCTCAACGTCTCCAGCAGCATGGCCTCCACGTACGGAAGATGCGGACGATCTTCGAAATTCGGTAGTCGACTCTTGCCGACAACCAAATCA